TTGCTGTTGGTCGATGTAAGCATTATCTAAAAAGTCTTTGTTCATTTTGCCCAAAAAGGTTCTTGAAGTTAAGTTTTAAGAGAGTAAAAACTTGAAAATGGGTTTAAAATTCTCCGTTAGTGTATCTATCAGAGCCAGTATATGCAACTTCTAAAAAAAAATAGAAATTTAACTGAGAAATGCAATTTTTCAAAAAATTCACTTCCAAATTTTGATTCAAGGAAGTTTGCTTTTATGTTTTCAATGTCATCCACTAAGTAACTTCGATTTATCTTAATTGCACCGAAATGGTGTTGTTCAGATTTTTTTCTATAAGCTGTTAACGTTAGTGTTTTGCCTACCAAATATGGATTAATACTTTCAAATCGTATAACATGGATGGGTTCACAGTGTTTTAGTTCTAAAGCCCTTTTTATAGCCCATTTTTTCCAGTGATATCAATTAGTGTACAATGCATTCATTAAAAAACATAATTGAGATATTAAAGTTTCAATAACTTTTCACCGACTTTGTTTTAACAAAAATTACAAAATGAATAGAAATCTTCAAAAATCTCGGAAAATTAAAAACATTATCAAAAACATAGAAACTTTTGCAAGCAAAAACAAATAAGAATTGATGACTAATCGAAAATTTTAACAGTAATTGATGACAAAAAATTTGCGAAACACATGAATCAACTTTTAAACGTTAATATTAGAGCATCAGTATTGACAGTTCGGACAATTCAGAGTCTTTACCTAGGACCTTGACTCATGGAAGTCAGATCAATTCTGCAGTTGATGATCAATTAAATTTTCTCTTTGAATAATTAATTTTTTTTTCACCTAAAATTAAGTTTAAAATCATCGACAGCAAGAGCAAAAATCCTATTGTGAAAAACTTTAGTGTCTTCAAAATATGCATAGATAAATTTCTAGCTAATTTTGATACGACAAAACTTCAGGTTGCAGAAAGACTCCCAATCTTTTTTTCTAAAAGTCAACTAACGGAATGTCGTTAACCCCACCGAGCGTTCTTAAAGTCATCAAGAGAGTTAGAAAAAAACTCAGACATTTAGAATTAAGCAGATGATCACCAAAAAAGGTGACGAATGAAAGGTTGGAAACTAGCTGCCAATTACCATCATTGTCTATGAGTACAGTCAATGAAAAATGCATCTATCAAGATATAGATATATACAGAACTTTGCTAAACTGCTTATCAAAATTCAATAGGAATTTGTCAGAATCGCTCATGTTAAACAAAAAATGTCGTTTCTGATTTAAAAAAAAAGGATATGAGGCATTTCACGTCTCAATCAATCAAAAATCGAAAATAGTGCTTTCTATAGTCTTTTTGCGGCATTTGATAAAATATTCATTATGCACATCCCAGAAAAATTTGTGAAATTTGGGTGGTGGGTTGTTTCCTAGAACTATTTGACGATTACCTCACAAACAGAAAGGAGAATGGAAAAGCCGTCATCCTCAAAACCCTTGGAATTTTCTTATCCTAGATAAAGATGTTTGGTCCATTGTTCTTTTTATAAAAACTGCTACGCGCGACGAGGCGGAGTTAGGTCCTATGGCCATTGAATCAATGCCAAGAACACTAACGAACGTACTCTTAAACGTCGCTATGTTCGTAGCCATTTCAATTGTGATTAGAGGGCATCAATTTATATGAAAATTACTGTTTCTGGGTCAATATCAAAATGCTGCCTATTTTTGCCTAAATTGGGTTAGCAACCTTATATAAAGGTATCTAAAAACCTAAAACACGCTATTATCCGTTAAGAACCTTTTTCCTTAATCCGTAGAAATAGTTTTTCGTGAGCAAAATTACCTTTCATCTATCCTTTAAGGCTCAACTTTTAAGCACATCTGCCTCATCAGAGCGGAAAATGAGTAAAAAACAAAGGCTAAAAATGTGTTCAGGACATGATGAATAAAGATACGATAATGTAAGGCCATTATTGCACAAAGGTTGATATTTGATATAAATTTTGAATAAAAGTGGCGTCGCCACTAGCGATTTTTATATTGTTCTTGTCAGTGCATTCTAATAGAATAAATCAAAAATGGTAGTGCAGTATCAAAAAGATCTGTTCCTATTGTTTTAAACTGTTAATTAAGTTAACAATTTTTAAAATGTTAACCCATATCTAATACGCAACTACAACACACTACACTAACTATGGTGTTATTGAAAAGATTACGATTTCAATTTTGTTCAGTCTGTGAAAAAAAGTTCTTCACGGAAAAAAAACTCTAGTACCCGATTGTAAGAATCTTGCTAATCGCAAGGGTCTTACAATCGGGTACTAGAGTTTTTTTCCGTAGAGAACTTTTTTCACAGAATAAACAAAACTGAAAACGTAATCTTTTCAATAACACCATAGTTAATGTAATGTGTTGTAGTTGCGTATTAGATATGGGTTTTAGTAGCCTCTTATCAGTTTTTCAAGACTATTTTTTCTGAGTCGAAAACATTGGGTAGAATTCGGCCTTAATTGCGTCAACTTATTTTCCAAATAATTTTTTTTCGACTTGTGTCCGTCGGTATTATATGATGGCAGTTATTGAATTCTGATAATAAAATTAGGAAAAAGATTGAATCAATTTTTTAGACTCTTAAAATGAAAACAAGAGCATCAATTAATTTTTTTTTAATTTTTCCTTTTGTTCAGCTCAAATGACAAAAATAGTTTAAACCTTTGTTGTTTTTGGTTGTTGTATTGGTTGTTTTTGCATTAATTGAATTGAGAATAAGCCTCCCAGAGGATCCTCAGCAATAAGAAGTTTATTTGAAAATGATGAATTTTTTTTCGTCGCCAATGGCTACCAGTCTGACTTCTCAATCTCGTTTCCTCCAAATTAAGATCGACTACTTTAGGTTGATCAAACTTTTTTTAAATCTTGATCGTACAAAGTTTAAGGATCAAATGACTCAAACAGCATAAATTTTCAAACTGCATAGTTTTTCAGCCCAAGTTTAACAGAACAAGTGCATTCGAAATTTCGTTTCTAACTTCCAACATTTTTTGCATGCATGGCCGTCTGTCACATTTCTATATCTTAATAATTGGTTTGCTTCAAGTTTTTTTAGTCATGAAGATCTGTGGTACTTAAGCCGACTAGAGGACCGCAAATTCTAGCGACTTGAGTAAGAACTGCGAAAAGTCAGAAAAATGTAGATACAGTTGAAAATTGGATCAAGCGGATTAAACTGCAATTAGCTGCAAACAAAAGTGCTGAAATTGAGTTGGAAGAAAAACTTATGACAAGCGGAGAAACCCTAGAAAACTCAAATTAAAATGCTTGTCTGGAGAGATTTATTACTGTTCATGTGATTCAGGATTTTTCAACAATATTTTTTTTTTGGCGTTCATTGAAACGTCGACTCTAGGTTCAAAACAGTTCTAAAAAATTGCTGAGAAAGTTAACCTAATAACTGTGCAAATCATTGAGTAAACTTGTTTTTGTTTATTTTAATTTCTCAACATTCTGGAGAACTGATTTAGCAAAGATCAAAAGTTATTCTGCAACAACTAAGACTGCCAATAGTCTTTTGCGATATTTGCTCGTCTGCTCGATATGGTAACCATGGCGAAACTAGTTAAGAGGACATTTTCAACTGTCTGTGATACTTCAAAATCAAAAACGAAAAAAAAATTTAGTTAGCAAAAGATAGTATCAAAAACAATTAAATTTTCCGCATTATCGCGCTGTAATTTTTCCGAGCTAGAAATTTGGTGTTTTGAAACCCTTATGCTCCGTCTGCCAATTAAATTTTGCACAATAGCAGGTTCAAAAGTTGGAGTCATTTGAAATTAATAGAACCATTTGCTTGTCTCAGTTTTAGAACGATTTTGCAGTGTGGGATCCCGCACCGAGAACTCATAGATTCTAATCGGTTATAATCGATTCACGCTACAAAAATAATCCATCATAAGCCATTACATATGTAAAATTCAGACCTGGAAATTGATTATATTGCCATCGCCAAATTGATTATATTGCCGATTAAATTAATTGACTATAATCCATTATTTTTGCCAAGATAATCCAATTTAATAGATTTTTTTTGAAATAAAAACCCATTACAATTGATTATTATCCATTACAATTTTAGAACGAAATTCCATAATTTTTGCAAAATTTTGCAAATATTGGGAGAAATTCCCCTCGCCCCCTGAAGCTTTTTTTTACCTTCCCCAACTAAAGCGGTGGGGGTGAATTGGGGGGTTGGTAGGTAAACTGAGAGGGAATGAACGGGGGGTGGGTGGGTTGCGTTGAAAAACAGTAAATTGAAGTGTTATATGCGATAAAATAAAAAGAAGACAAAAATTTTTCTTCATAGTGAAATGTAACATTTTATGAAACGTAATGCGTAGCAACTGCACCAAACAGGAAATGAAATAACTTTGTATAAAATTGTAAATTTCATGAAGAATTCCTCGAAAAAATTCATTATAGTCGATTATAATCTATTATAAGGGATTTTATTGGTATAGAAATATTAGGATTATAATCCACTTTTAGTGGATTATAATCGATTATTTTGTCATGACCATATTATGATATTATGACCACATAATCTATTATGATCCAGGGGGCGCTCGGTGCGGGATAATTCGTGCTTTGTTTTTAGCATCATAAATCGCAGTGCGCAAAAGTTAGTCCAGAGACCAGAGCGTATGTAAGTTGGCAATATTCAAACCCCGAGAGCTTTACAAAAGTTTATAAGAGTTGAAGCACTTTTTCTAAATTTAGGATGTCGATATCTTCGATGAAATTTAATTTTTTTTGATAAAGTCGCTTATTGTGAGCGCCAAAATTTAGGTGAATAAAAAGCATACACTTTCCACATTTTTTTTCGAAGTCGAACAATAATCAAATAAAATGAGTTAGTGGCTCGGTATCCGTTTCTGTTTTGTTTTTATTGCGCATCGTTGCCTTATGTTTATTCAAAATACTCATACCCGTTGATTCTGCATCTTCAATTTGAAAAAACAATGAAGTTAAAGTTCAATTCAAGTCAGTTATCAAAACTAATACTAACAGTGAGTTTAAAGCAGAAATAGTGAAACAGAATGCAGCATTATTGCAACACAAATTACATTTTTGAAAAACCAGTTACTTTATTTATTCGTTTTCAGTCGGCGGGTTTCAGCCCTTTTTGTTTCTATTTCCTATCATTTTTTGTTTTTAGACAACGGGGTATCCGGCTTGGGTGGCAACTCCGCAGTTGTTGCTTTTGTCTTTGGCCATCTTGATGTAGCCCTGCTCTCCCCAAGAAGTTCCCCAGCTGTTCTTCACAATCCAGTATTTCTGGTCCGCATCTTCGTTGTTATAACCAACAGCCAACACACCATGATCCAGTCGGTAAGAACTACAACTGGGTTCAAAATACACTCCGCCGCTGTAGAGCTGGAAGCTGAAATGACTGGCGTCAATTGCAATCGAACAAGGACCCACGCTAGCAATTGAGTCTTCAAGTCTGGACTCGCTTCCTGACGTGATGTCAAAGTAGCTAGAGACTTGGGCTACGTGAGTCATTCCGCTGGCTTTGCAGGACTGCTGGTAGCCGACGTATGGGTAGTCGTCTTCGCTGATTGAGCCCTGGTTCTGTGAGAGCCACAGTACTGCGTTGCTCATGAGTCCACCATTGCAGCCGTAGTCATAAGTGTCGCAATCTACCAACTGTTGTTCGCTCAAACTCACCAGTGTTCCTGCAATTAGAACAGTAAAAAAACTGAATTGTATCTTGTATTGAAAACGGCATATTGTAACTTTTATTGAATATGGCATATTGTAACTTTTATTGAAAACGGCATATTTTAACTTTTATTGAATATGGCATTATCAAATACTGCACTTATCATACGCCTAATTAAAATTTTTATTTAGGTGCCATTTTTGGAATATTGCCAATAGTGAAAAAAAGGAAACTTTCTCGACTATTTTTGCTCTTATTTTGTCTGAAAATCAAAAAATTTCTGAACTTTTAATTGTGCTTTGAGTCATGAAGACCGACCAAAGTAGAAGTATGCTGCTTTCTAATCGAAATTCTACTGCTTCATAAAAAATTAATCTGATTTTTTCTGCAATACGATGTTTGATGACGCATGGTGTGTTTTCAAGAGATTTGAGAGGACTTGTTACAAAAAATGCATATAGAATTAGATTTTTTGCTCCAGAAACTCAAGAATTTTTATTTCAAAGGGTCCTTTATTTTGAAGTATTTTCAATTTTCAATCATGAGTCCAGGCGCGGATCTAGGAATTTCTCGAGGGGGGGGGGCAGATTTTCATAAAAATTTTGAAAACTCTGTCGATCTTTTTTATTATTTTTAGGTCGACCAAATCGATTTTCTGAGGTCTTCCAAATCACTATAAACACCCTAATTTGACCAAAACTTCTGCACCGCAGGCAAATTTTTGAAAAAAGGCCAAACAAATTACCTGAAATAAAAAGTGTTTTCTGACAGAAATGAAAGAAAACATCCCGAATGTTCTAGAAATTTTTTGTTTGAACTCTATCATTTTACCGGCGGATATCCAACAAACCACCATATCTTGAAGCCAAAATTACAACAGAATAACGCAAATTACCTCAGAATTATGTAACAGTTGCATAACATCAGTGACAATCAGTTGTTATGTTGCATAATAAAATTGACTTTCGGCTTGTTGGAATGATAATCTTATTTTCGGTGTGCTGGCCCGTCGGCTTGTTGGCCCTTCGGCTTGTTGGCCTTTCGGCTCTTTGGCCTACCACTCATTTTACCTGAGGCATTCTTGTGCTGTCCTTCCATGCTTCCGGTGGTGGAGAAAGACCAGCAGCTTCCACATTGTCCCTGATCCTTCACGCCAGTCACCCAACCATCATCCCTCCAGTCTTTGCTGGTTGGGTTGCTCAACACTCCGGACTCGGAATCGAACCCCGGCTGGGTCTTGACAATCTGTCGCATTCCGAGTCTCTGGGCTGCAAACTCCTCGGAGGTCAAATCGGCGAACAAGTTCATCTCCAGAGTAAAAGTGGTGAGTCCGAGGTTGTACTTCAGATTATGTAACATCACCTGAAGTTTCAAAAAAACTCTATTGTAATGGTTTTTGTGAGTGCTGATGACCTTGCTAAGGTGTCTAGCTCTATGTTGAGTGGTACTTTGAATTTGTGTTTTTACTGCAACAGAAGCTTACATCATGCTAGACATACAACCCAACATCTGAGTCAGGGCGGATTTAGGGGGGGAGCGTACGCCCCCCCCCCCTCAGGGATTCGACCCCCTGCCGACCCAAAGGGTCCCCCCTTTGATACTTTTTCAGAAATCCATTTCGGCCGACCGACCCTGAAATTTTTCTAAAGACGCCTTCGGCGCCAATATATACTAACTTTGAGGGGGAGCGCGCGCCAAAAAAACGCGATTTTTTTGTAAAATTTTTTCAAAAAGTGCCCAAAAACGGCTTTTTGACTGTTTTTCAAAAAATGGTCTGCGGCGCAGAAAATTTAGCCAAAATAGGGGCAAAACAGTGCTTTGGGAGAGCTCGAAAAATCAATTTTGTCGACCTAAAAAAAAAGGTCGTCAAAATTTTTGAATGTTTTTTGAAAATCCGCCCCCGCCCCTTTCGAGAAAATCCAAGATCCGCCTTTGATCTGAGTGCGTAATTTTTTTTCGATGAGGGGGGTTTTGTGAGGGGGGGGGGGTTGATTCTCTAAACTGTTTTCGAAGATTTTTAATTATTGGCTTTTTTTGTCTAAAACGCACAAACTGATGGAAATAGTTTTAAGTGTTTAGAGTTTTGGAAATATTTTTTACGGAAATAACTAGTAACTAATGATGAAAACAATTTTTTTATTGTTCACGCAGTATTAGAAAAAAAATTGTTTTATAAATAAAATAAATGAGCAATTTGCCTTTTCCATGTTATCTTTCCAGATACCGAATCGAGTGACCTCTTCTACTCCTGAGTCATACTTTTTCTCGAACTTGACCTTCCAGGCATCAAACAGTTCCGCGTGAGGATCCCTTTGGAGAGAAAGAGGCACGGCCGACAGGGTCATTGGAAGCGCCACAGCTAGAGCCACGAACAAATTCATTCTGAAACAGATACGAAAAAAAATTTTCAGAGGAAATTTCAGTTCGCCTGAAGCTAAAGTCAAATTAAAACATAATCGTGAATGGTAGAAATTTTTTTTTGTTTGGGTTTATTTCTTTTCAACTGTTGAACAAATTAGCGCAAAAATTAAACAAGTGAATCCGACAAGCCCAAAAAATTGCAGAAAGTTCAGTTTAAACTCTCTCAATTATTTTTAAAAAAAAGTTGAATTTTTTAAGACAATTTGAAATCAGACAATTTGAAATCAGAACAGTTTTTTTCTCACAAAAGTATGATTTCGTTTTGGGATCTACTTACTTTGAGTTTGAGTAATAAATGAATGATTTTTGATCTCCGCCTAAAAGCGTACTTAGAGTAAGGTCATATAAATAATATTTGTTTTCGAACGGAAGAATTTCGAAAAGATCAATTTTACACAATTATCATGAGTTGAAAACTACTCTCTTCAATTGTATAAATAGTATCGCCAACGCCGTTTTGCAAAAAATAAACAATTGTTCAAAGTGTTTCTGTAATAGGTCAAGAAAGAAAGACAACTTCTTCTTGACCCCACGGCCATATAAGGTCAAAAATTATACATGCTACATGGACACAGAGGTGAAGCTGCGCTTCACAAACACTTGCGAGAACACGGCCAAAAAACAGCTCTATCAAAGTAAATAAGAAAAAGTAGAAATAAGCCTCAAATTAGCAAAAACTCGGCTACATGTAAGATTCGAATCTGCTCCCTACTGCAATCAAGAGACTGAGGCTCACGCACTAACCGCTCAGCCACCCAATCTTAAAAAGCAACAAAAACTAGCCACGAATAAAGCAGCCACACATGCTAAAAATTGTCAATGCAATTCAGCAAAAGTGGCACCCAATACAAATAGACTCATTTTAGCAGGTAAAAATTTGGAATATAACGAACTGAAGGCATTCACACTAACTTTGCATGTAACAAATCGCAAAGCATAGAACACATTAAGTATAAATTATGCATTTCAAAAAAATGCCGGATATATTGAGTTAGAAAATTTATGAAATCGAATTTTCAATATTGTTTTGTTTTCTAAAAAAAAAATTTTTTCGGTTCATTTGTTGAATTAAAAATGAATCAACTGTGTTAACCTATTACTATTCGAAGTCAAATTACATGCTATCAGAAAGCTGTAAAGGTGCCCCAAAAGTGGCCTGAACATTTGCGACTTAGATTAGAAAAAAGAAGGTTTGTACTAATACACTCATTTCGCAACTGAAAAAAGCAGGGAAGTGGTTACGTCTACGCTTCTCAGTCGGTAGGTTGGATGTTCGAAGCCCGTGCTCGTTGCTCAAGGGTGAGGCAGCAACGTAACTCAGCCCAGCAGTATAACCAAAAGTAGCATGTACTTTTGAACAGGGCCATAACAAGCGGTTCTTCGTGATGCAAATATCTCGTGCATTGTTTCTTTTTCGATGTGGAAAAATCGTCTTGAAAAACAGAGTTAAAGCAGAAATTGATAAACATAAGGTCGAATCTGAAACATAGATAAACTCTAATGTATAGATAAACTCTAGTACATAGATAAACTCTAATACACAGATAAACTCTAATATAAACTCTATTATATAAACTCGACCATTTTTATTACATTTTTTCTCAAAACTGGTCATTATTTTTAAGCAAAAGACTAGTTGAAAGAGCCAATTGAACTTATTTTTGCTTATTAAAAATATTGATATACTATGATATGAGTTAAAAATAAACTTCAGAAGTTAATTCCATGATTAAATATATTTAACACCCGATGTTGTTCGGAAATTTTCTATATCTATAACTTAATTCAAAGTGAGAAAAACAAAACTGCTCCCATCGTGACAAAACTTTGAGAACTGTCACATTGTGATTTTTTTTGAGAATTGTGACATTATGATAAAAAAATTTTCAAGTCAAACAAATGTGATAAATTAAGGGTCACAGTTCTCAATTTTTTTGTTATATTCCGGAATTTGCTAAACCTTTGCGGAATCTACTTACGCTTGGGAATCCGGAGCAACTAATTTTATTCGAAATAATGTGCCGACAAGTTTCATATAAGAGGTATTTGTTCGCGGAATCAACGGAAAGTTTGTAAGTGGAATCATCTTACATTTTCGAACGCATTTAAAAATTTTCTCTGCTTAGGAACATACCGACACCAAATTGAGCACCTATCCAGTGCACAGTTTGGCATCGCAATGAAAGAACGTTTTTTCCATTTTTGAACCTTTGCCATCGTTTACTATAATCCAATTTGGACTTAAATCTGTCCCGAATGAATTCAACATCTACGCTACGCCATAATAGAAATCAGCAGGTTTTGCATTAAAATTTTTTCTTAGATTGACCAAATTGACTGTTTTGTACCCATCAAAAATTACAAAAAAAAACATACAAAGCAGTATATATTCTCTATTTGAACTCGGCGTTATGATTTTTTTCAATGATACCAGTGAATTTTACTCCGTCAAAAACTGGTACTGTTCCGACCACTTGAAAAATTGGGGAGGAACTTTGTATTCCGGTGTGTTCATTTCCTTGCAAAATCAGTAGCTACCTCAAATAATCTTCGGAGAGAGTTAAGTGATATTTCATACCCAAACCCTTTCAGTAGTGATTCGAACGGCCTTCAATAATTTCGAAAAGTTTTCCCAGTGTCAAGAAAAACTGGTTTGAAATTTTTGACTTTTCGCATTAATTCGAGCAAATAAATAGGCTTGCAATAGCTTATTTTAACGAATTGTAAGCTTCAGTCTTTAATGAAATTTAAGGAAAGCTAGTTTCATTGAGTATTTTAGCGCTTTTTGAAATCAAAAACTTCAAAAATTCAAAAACTGCAAATCAAATTGATCAAATTTTTGAATTTTTGTTTTTCTAGTCAATTTTCAACATATATATTTTTTCCATTTTGCGTAGTTTACGAAGCATGTCAAAAATTCTTAAACTTTAGCTTTTCTTTAAGATCTTTTTAATCACACAACACCGAAAAAAAACGACATTCATTTTGTTTATTAAAGACGATGGTCTGAGCCTTCTGTGCTACTTGCAGAATAACCGGCTATCCTTGTTCATTCTGAAACTGTTGGTAATCAGCAAATAAGCATGCCCGAGCATATATTTTTTGTTAGTTTTACTAGTCATTGCTTGAAGCAAAAAATAACCCCGAGCATAAAATTTGCACTATTTTTTTCCAAAACCTCGAACAACGACATCCCAATTAAATAATCTTTACTGCCATTTTTAATTAAAACTTAAAAAGCAGTTTTTATTGAAAAAGTTCATTATTGTATTATAGATGACCAAAAATTTAGCTACTCGTTGACAATTTCAATTAATTCATTTTCAATAAACCTTATTTTTTCTAAATGCAGGAATTGGACTTAATCAAATAATTAAATAGGTTTAGGAAAGTTTTTTCGAGCAGTTTATGAAAATTTTCTAAATTTTATCGCAGACAGTCACAAAAACTAGAACTGGCTTAAAACTTGCTGAAAACGCATAAATAGAATTAACGCGAGCAAAAAAAATTAAAAAGCGCTTTAAAAGTAGGTCATGCTGTTAAATGAACGCGTAATTTTTCCACT